GAGGTTCTACAACGTCCACAGTTCCGGCTGAGGATGTGAATACAAGCCTTCGCACAGTTTTGGCCTTCTCGCATGCTTTCATGATGTCTAGTAATCCATTTATTGTTGGCTTTATCACTTCATTCTGCATTTCATATCATTTTTCTAACCATATTAGAATCAGTTTTCTATTTTCAAGACATTAAATGTACTTTTTTTTTATTTGTACGAGGATATAATAGTACTAGTATTTTATTAGAATACGTTAATCAAGCAAGTTATTTGAAGATTTCACAACTAATTTTCACTAGTTATTTATAAGAGTTAATCATCTATATACTGCTAGTGTAAAATTTTTTTACACTGGTAACCAATTATATCTTTTAATTGTATATGTCACTGTTAAAAGTAAATGTACTTATAGTGACATGACACAATTAAAAGATATAATTGGTTGCCAGTATAAAAAAACTTTATACTGGCAATGTATAAGTGATTAACTCTATTTACAAATCCTTCCGAATTTTGTTTTATTTTGTACAACCATACAATTACAACTAGTCACGGTCGTGCGAAAAATTAACTTAGCAGAACAGCCTCCAAAAGACATGCAATTAATAAAGAAAACGAGTAAGGATTATAGTTGGACTATAGTAGCTATAGTAGCTGCTGGCGGGTTATACATGATTGGAATGTTAATTAGGTTTACGAACGTATATGTATCTCTAACACGAGCCAACACGTCACATGAAATGTGTGGTATTAAGCAATGGATATCGTTAGTTGACTAATATTAATAACTTTTACCATATTGTTATGCATGCATGCATGTTTAGAATATAATGAAGGATCATACATATAACATCATTTTGACAATGTTGGTTGTGGTATACCAGGGAATTATTGAGTGAATTGATTCCTCTTATTTATCGATATATATTCACTACTAGAAAAGTGTTATTTTCTTGCAAATTTTCCTGCAAAAAAATATTCGCAGAAATTTTTTGCGAATTTATTTGTGAAAAATAATTTACAGATATTTCTTACAAATTTTGCTACAATTTTAATAATTATAGAAAATTTTTTCTATAGTAAAAATTTACAGAAAATATTGTAAGAATTTTATTTTGTTTCTTGCAGATTTTCTTGCAAAATAAATTCGCAAGTAATGTTTACTAAATGGTAGAAAAATTTTGCAGGTAACTTTTTCTACGGATTTTCCTGCAAATTTTAATCCGCAGGAAAAATAAAAAAAAATATTTAAATTTATAAGTTTAATATTTTAAAAAAACTTCAAGTCCCACATCGATTGAAAATAAAGCAATTAAAGAGTATATAAGTTGGGGCAACACTTACCTTACAAGTTGATTTATATGGTTGAGTGTTAAATCTATAATCTACAATCTTAAAATTTAAAAGATTATGTATCACATGTTGGAGACATGGAAACAAATGCTTCGGATGAATTCATTGTGAGCATTTGAAAGTTGAAAAATTATTGATATAATTTATAGTAATTTCTTTAATTTTTTTTGCAGGAAACTTTCCTGCAAATTTTTTTCGCAAGAAAATTTCCTGCGAATTTTAAAATTCGCAAAAAAATATTATGCAATAAGGTATTACCTTTAGATAAAATTTTACATGAAAATTTGCAGGAACAATGTTTCCTGCGAATTTTTATGAAAAATTCGCAGGAAAAGTCGCATGTAATAAGAGAAATTCTCGTAGTGATTTACAAATCAAGTATGAATGTTTGATAGATTCCTAAGAAAAAGATAGTGTGCATTGGTGAAGATACCTCAGGGTCCTTGGACTCAAAGTCCATGGGGGTGGCGACGTGGAAAACTCCAGTGCAGCCTTTAATGGCTTCATCAAAGCTTCCCTCATGAGCAAGATCAGCCTTCCATAGAGATAGATGTGTCTTTGCTTGTGGCAGATCCAGCAAATGCTTCACCTTCTTCATGTTAGCTGCATGCAGGGTACACATACATATAAATTAATTTACTATAGTGTAAAGTGTTATTTTCTTTTTTAATGAAATGAAAAATAGAATAAATAAACTATAAATACTGGGACCTGGGTCGCGTACGGTGGCTCGAACGGTGTAGCCACGCTCGAGGAGTCTCATGATAAGCCATGAACCGATGAAACCAGCAGCTCCGGTAACGCAAACGGTTTCGGATTTTGAACCCATATTCTCTCTTTCTCTTGTTTATAAGCCTTAGCTTCAAAATGGAATGGAAGATGTCTATTAAGTGCATGCTTTTATAGAAGCTTTGCACAAAGAGGATAATGACTGGTCAGCCTTTTTAAGTGAGTGTAGGGTCCAACTAGCTAGGGTTATTCTTTGCATTTTTCTTGTTGTCATTACTATCAAACTAATTTTACAAATTTTATACTTAAAATATCCGATTCTCATCATAAAAAGGTATTAACTAGTGATATATTATAAAAAAATAATGTATATAATATAGATGAATAACTTTCATCTCACAAATTAGATTTATAAAGTTATATTAAGCATAAACTTATTCTTATGAAAGTCTTTATGCTTATGTAAGAATTGTTTGTTGTTTTCTTTTTAACGCAACATGTTAATGACTAATTATTGTGTGCATGCATGGCCCATTTTCAGAGAAGTTTAAAAACAAACTCTTACCCGAAAATTTTTCTTTTAGAGATTTAATCCCGATTAATTCCAATAAGAGAAACTAGTTGTTAGTTGGTGATCTAAGAACCACTTTGGCCCAAATTAAGTTTTCCTTTATTCTCTCACAAGTGCAAAGGTGCAGGACAAAGAGGAATTGTCTGGGTTTGGCTGTGTATAGCTCATTTGAGAATTGGTTCGTTGTGTTATGATACCCTTATTACTCAACACGTGATGACCAGCCAGTTTTGTTAGGTAGAAAGAGTTAGCTGAACTTAAGAGCTCGTTGGTGACTGGTGGTTGACTATTCGCTCCCTAGTTTCATCCTTCATTATTTCTTCCTAACCTCTTATATTTTTCCAGCTTCGGAACAAATGCCAATGCAACTCTAAATTACAATTGAGTTTAAGCTTTATGTAATTTGAATTAAGTTTTTTTTTACAGCTTTTTTGTAATTATATATGCTTAAGATTTTTTTTTCTCTATAAACTATGTACAATTAGATAATAATTAATAATTTTTTTTAGATTTATCGTATATCGAAATCATGTCCCAATTAATATTCATCTATTATTGCATAACTTCACTCGGCCTGCATTTGATGAAATTAAAAATTATATGGTATAAGTTATATTGAATTGAAATTTTTTAGTAAAATGTTAGCAAATAAATGTAAAATAATATAACTTTTTTTAATAATTATTTGAGGTAAAAAAAATACTTTAAATAAATTAATAAGAATAATAAAAAAAAAGAATTTTGGGCTGAGTCCAAAATAATCATAAAAGGAAAGAATAACCAAACGGTTTTGAGTAGGAGTGTGAAAAAATTCAAACCAATCTAAACTGATTTATATTAAAAAAAATTGATCTATTTTCAAAAAAAAAATCGATCTGATCCACTTTGCAAAATCAATTTGATCATCCAATTCATTTTTACAAAACAGATTAGTTCAATTTGATTCAATTTTCTTAAAAAAGATCAATATATGGATATAAAATGAATAATCGCACCATACCTAATCGATCTAATTCAAAAAAAATTGATCTATATTTAAAAAAAATGAACTGATCTATTTTATAAAAAATGGATGTAGTTGGTATTGCAGAGCATATCTTCGCAAAAATAGAACGTGGGAGATTCGTTCACTATACCTCATCCGCATAGATGTGTAGTAGAGATGTTTTCTCAAGATTATACAAAGTTAGATTCAAAGAAGATTGGTGAATACATCATGCCGTTAGTTAAAATGGATCCAATGACTACAGTGCCACTATTGATTGAAGTAGTCAGAGATAAAATAGGGTACACCATCTCTTACACAAAACCTTGGAAGGCTAAGAAAAAGGCATTAGAACAGACATTTGGAAACTGGGAAGAATTGTACAAGTTGTTATCAAGAAGTTTTCAAGCCTTACAAGTTTATGTTCTTGGAACAATCATCCAAGTTCAAACATGCCCAATCCTTGAAAATGATGTCTTGGTTCTTGGAAAAAGAAGATTTCATTGACTTTTCTAGACTTTTAAACCTTACATTGACAGGTTGGCATATTGCAAGCCAATTGTTCAAATTGATGGAATATGGCCATATGTCAAATACACTAGGACTATATTGCTAGCTATGGCTTAAGATAGGAACAATCAAATATTATCAATAGTTGCCATCATCGAGGGTGAGACAGCAGATGCATGGTTCTTCTTCTTGAAAAATTTAAGAAGGCACGTCATACCTCAAAGGGGACTCTGTTTGATCTGAGACAAACATGAATATATTAAAAGTGCTTACAATTGGAAGGACACTGGGTGGGGACAATATCAAACGTTGCATGTGTTTTGTATTAGACATATTGTGCAAAATTTCCTGAGAAAATACAAGAATGTTGATATACACAAATTTGTTGTCAACATAGGTAAGTAACTAATTCATCTAAATTATATTTTTCATGTGATTAGTTCTAATGTTGACAAATACTACATTATATGTTGCCTAACATCTTAGGATATGCATTGATAGGGAGCATGTTCCACCATTATTATAATGATATTTGACTTGAAAATCTCGACACTTCCAATTGGTTTGATCGCATACCTAAGGAACAATGGATTCAAACATTTGATGGAGGTCAATGGTGAGGACACATGACAACCAACCTTGCAAAGTTTATCAATTCATTACTTAAGGATATTCAAAATTTACCAATAACATCATTGCTCTTAAAAATGTACTTCAAACTAACTAAATTATTCACTAGGAGGGGGAAGGAAGCAAATGCAATATTGTCGAATGATCATGAATATGGGGAAATTGTAAAAAAAAATATTAATGGATGACATAATAGAAAAATTCACTTCTCACAAAGTTGAAACAATAAATCCATAACAGGGTGGACGACTACTAAAAAGATTCAAAGTATTCCTCTAAAACAAAGTGTGATTAAAAAAATAAGAAAGAAAAAAGTAGTGAGAAGTCAAACCCCCATACCTACCTGACTTCTCAATGTAAATAGGGGCATTGTGATGAATAATATGGAAAGATGGGCATTATCAGTATTGATATTGGAAATAAGAACATTTGTATAAGACATTCTTTCTATATCTGTTATTTTTATAACTAAAATTTAAAAGTCAATACATTTTATGTTGGTTAATTTTATAATTGATATAAAAAAATAAGATCTTTTATATTGTCAAATCTATAATGATCTAAAATTAACATAAAAAAAAAAGTTAATTTTCATCCATCGTTAAGAGTGTGGGGCGTTACAATTCAAATACAGCTTCAGGATATATAAATTGGAGCAATTGACGTATGCATTGAGAAAGGGTTTCTTCCTAAACCTACAGAATCTCCGGTGAAGGCTTAGCTTCTTGAATTATGTTTCTGTTTTATGAATTGTAAGTGGCTTTACACCGGCTTTGTATGACCAAGTTGTTTTCAAATAAGTTAGAAGCATCTTTTGAAGTGTTGTTAATTTGCATAAAATATTTTTAATATCATGTATGCCAATATCTCGGAGCTCGAGGCTGCTTATAAAATAAAAATGTTTGTTCTTTTTTAGTCTATGTTCCCTATTTTTATAGGAATTAAAAAGTAAAATAAAATAATATATATAGAAATAAAAATGAACTATTTTTAATTATAAGGATTAAAATTTAAAGTTCATGAAACTATAGGAATCAAATGAGTAATTAAAATATAAAAGTTTTATTATGACTCAAAAATAAGGGTGTTCATGAATCAGATTTTTGAAAAATTTAAACTAAATCAAATCGATACATTTTTTTTTGACAATATGCAATTATTCATTCTACATTGGATTGTTTTTTTGGGTATTCAACATGGTTCTTGAAATGCAATTCTTTGATTATAGAATTCACGACATATTTGTTAGAAAATCATTGTCCAATAGATAGAGTTTCCACCTTAGATGGAATACTTTCACAATTCAAGAAGTGTCTGAATTCTGCATCATCTCCATTTATCTTATCCAAATTCAATTCAAGCATGTGTGGAGGGGGATGATAGGCCTACAATGTTGTTGTCATTTTCTTCATCATCAAAATTATCATCAACGTTGTCATCGTTGTCGCAACCCGAAAATTTCCGATCTTGCGACCTATGATTTAGACATCCTTTTGAAAATATCATCAATTAAAGAATGCCCGGACACTAGACTAATCTTTAATTAATGGTTTTAAAAATAGGTTCATGGAGTCGCCACCAATGTTTTACTCAAAACATTGGAAAAAGGAAATATTTTTTTAAAAAGAATCCAATAATGGCCTTGATAACCAGAATTGGGTTCGGGGGTCGGTTACGTGTAGGGAAGGTATTAAGCACCCCTACAACGCCCTCCCTCAATCGGTACCCTATGATGAAGTTGACGTGATAAGAATTAATAAATTAAATATTAGATCCCCTTTATTAATAACTATTTACATGCTTGAAATTTAAATTATACAATTAACCCTAAAATGTCTACATGATTGTTTTTATTATAACAATATTTATTATAGATAAGAAATAAAAAAAGAGAGAAAGAGATTAACTGAAATACCTCTTGAATGAGCTCTTGCTTTGTGGCAGCCTTTCACACTACAATATGCCTCATAAAATCTCAAGAAATACAAAAGAGAGAGAGAGAAAAAGAGAGAAATTTCAAGCTCTAAGGAGTCTGGATGAAATTTGGAGCCTTGAGAACTGTGCCCGAGCTGTTTATTTATAAGCATCAGAAGGGGGCCAGAACGGCCCGTTCTGGGCTAGTCCGTTATGGGTAAAATAAGAATCTGGAACGGCCCGTTCCAAAAGTGGAAAGGCCCGTTCTGGGTTCGAATTTTACTTACAACAAGCTATTCTGGAATGGCCCGTTCCAAACTAGGGTTTTAGGCCCATTTGATGATTTGGAACGGCCAGTTCCCTATTTAGAACGACCCGTTCTGGGCAAGTCTGTTATGGGTAAAATAAGAATCTGGAACGGCCCGTTCCTACAGCAGAACGACCCGTTCTAGGTTCAAATCTTGCTTAAAACAACCTGTTATGGAACGGGCTGTTCCGTTTTGGGAACAGCCTGTTCCGGTCTTGGGAACGGCCTGTTTCAGTCTTGGAA